TTGCTTTACAAGGCTTTGCTTTACAAGGCTTTGCTTTACAAGGCTTTGCTTTACAGGACTTTGCTTTACAAGGCTTTGCTTTACAAGGCTTTGCTTTACAAGGCTTTGCTTTACAGGACTTTGCTTTTCAAGGCTTGCTTTACAAGGCTTTGCTTTACAAGGCTTTGCTTTACAAGGCTTTGCTTTACAAGGCTTTGCTTTACAGGACTTTGCTTTACAAGGCTTTGCTTTACAAGGCTTTGCTTTACAAGGCTTTGCTTTACAAGGCTTTGCTTTACAGGACTTTGCTTTACAAGGCTTTGCTTTACAAGGCTTTGCTTTACAAGGCTTTGCTTTACAGGACTTTGCTTTACAAGGCTTTGCTTTACAAGGCTTTGCTTTACAAGGCTTTGCTTTTCAAGGCTTTGCTTTACAAGGCTTTGCTTTACAAGGCTTTGCTTTACAAGGCTTTGCTTTACAAGGCTTTGCTCTACAGCACTTTACAGTACTTTGCTCTACAGCACTTTACAGTGCTCTGCTCTACAGCACTTTACAGTACTTTGCTCTACAGCACTTTACAGTGCTCTGCTCTACAGCACTTTACAGTACTTTGCTCTACAGCACTTTACAGTACTTTGCTCTACAGCACTTTACAGTACTTTGCTCTACAGCACTTTACAGTACTTTGCTCTACAGCACTTTACAGTACTTTGCTCTACAGCACTTTACAGTACTTTGCTCTACAGCACTTTACAGTACTTTGCTCTACAGCACTTTACAGTACTTTGCTCTACAGCACTTTACAGTGCTCTGCTCTACAGCACTTTACAGTACTTTGCTCTACAGCACTTTACAGTACTTTGCTCTACAGCACTTTACAGTACTTTGCTCTACAGCACTTTACAGTACTTTGCTCTACAGCACTTTACAGTACTTTGCTCTACAGCACTTTACAGTACTTTGCTCTACAGACTTACAGTCTTTGCTCACAGCACTTACAGTACTTTGCTCTACAGCACTTACAGTACTTTGCTCTACAGCACTTTACAGTGCTTTGCTCTACAGCACTTTACAGTGCTCTGCTCTACAGCACTTTACAGTGCTCTGCTCTACGCACTTTACAGTGCTTTGCTCTACAGCACTTTACAGTGCTTTGCTCTACAGCACTTTACAGTGCTTTGCTCTACAGCACTTTACAGTGCTCTGCTCTACAGCACTTTACAGTGCTTTGCTCTACAGCACTTTACAGTGCTTTGCTCTACAGCACTTTACAGTGCTCTGCTCTACAGCACTTTACAGTGCTCTGCTCTGTTGTATAAGTGGGACCCTCTTGTACATCAGTAGTCCAGGACCTAACCTGTTGTATAAGTGGGACCCTCTTATACAGCAGTATCCAGGACCTAACCTGTTGTATAAGTGGGACCCTCTTATACAGCAGTATCCAGGACCTAACCTGTTGTATAAGTGGGACCCTCTTATACAGCAGTATCCAGGACCTAACCTGTTGTATAAGTGGGATCCTCTTATACAGCAGTATCCAGGACCTAACCTGTTGTATAAGTGGGACCCTCTTATACAGCAGTATCCAGGACCTAACCTGCTGTATAAGTGGGACCCTCTGTACAGCAGTACTCCAGGACCTAACCTGTTGTATAAGTGGGACCCTCTGTACAGCAGTACTCCAGGACCTAACCTGCTGTATAAGTGGGACCCTCTGTACAGCAGTACTCCAGGACCTAACCTGTTGTATAATTGGGACCCTCTTGTACATCAGTAGTCCAGGACCTAACCTGTTGTATAATTGGGACCCTCTTATACAGCAGTATCCAGGACCTAACCTGTTGTATAAGTTGGACCCTCTGTACAGCAGTACTCCAGGACCTAACCTGCTGTATAAGTGGGACCCTCTGTACAGCAGTACTCCAGGACCTAACCTGCTGTATAAGTGGGACCCTCTGTACAGCAGTACTCCAGGACCTAACCTGCTGTATAAGTGGGACCCTCTGTACAGCAGTACTCCAGGACCTAACCTGTTGTATAAGTGGGACCCTCTGTACAGCAGTACTCCAGGACCTAACCTGCTGTATAAGTGGGACCCTCTGTACAGCAGTACTCCAGGACCTAACCTGCTGTATAAGTGGGACCCTCTGTACAGCAGTACTCCAGGACCTAACCTGGTGTATAAGTGGGGGCCCTCGTGTACAGCACTCGTGTGCATGTGTCTGTCTCTGCGTGCACCCTTGTGTGTGGTTTAGAAAGACACGTAAGCAAACACTATAACATATTTATTAGAAAACGTTTCGGTCCTGGGACCTTAATAAATATGTTATAGTGTTTGCTTACGTGTCTTTCTAAACCAACTTGTCGGTATTTATTACCAAGGTTTATACCACCCTTGTGTGTGTATGTGTGCACACTCGCGTGTGTGCGTGCTCGTGCATGCGCGCTTGTGTATGCTTGCTCGTGTGGGTGTATGACCCACTTAATATTTGTATTTATAACTCGTTACAACTGTGACCAGGTGTGGACGTGTCAGTGGTTCATTACTTTGTAATTTGTTCATGATTGTGACTATGTATAGGAGTGTAAATGGTTCATTACCTTGGTAACTTGTCATGATTGTGACCAGATCTACCTGGAACTCATTACCTTTGTAACTAGTTCAGCTATCATAACTTTGGGGTCAAGTCCCTGGACCCATTGTGTACTTCTGTAATCTTTTGACTGCTGTCCACAGGATGGGTGTGGGGTGCATAATAAACATATTAAACTAAACTCCTGTAGAGCAGTAACCCAGAACCTAACCTGCTGTATAAGCAGGGCCCTCCTGTACAGCTGTAGCCTGGAACCTTACTCGCTGTATAAGCAGGGCCCTCCTGTACAGCAGTAGTGTGGAACCTTACTCGCTGTATAAGCAGGGCCCTCCTGTACAACAGTAGCCTGGAACCTTACTTTCTGTATAAGCAGGGCCCTCCTGTACAGCAGTAGCCTGGAACATTACTTTCTGTATAAGCAGGGCCCTCCTGTACAGCAGTAGCCTGGAACCTAACCTGCTGTTTAAGTGGGAACCCTCCTGTACAGCAGTAGCCTGGAACCTAACCTGCTGTTTAAGTGGGAACCCTCCTGTACAGCAGTAGCCTGGAACCTAACCTGCTGTTTAAGTGGGAACCCTCCTGTACAGCAACCCAACAACAAGGGTCATTGAAAGCACAGCAGCCAGTGCTGTGCCAAGATTAAACAGCTATGTTATCATCAGTCACATAACACATACATAACATGGTATATCACAATGTACTTGTATAACATACCATCATGTTGCTAACCTAACTTAACCTACAGCCATGAATTAAGAGACAGAATGGTGTCTATGTACAATAATAATAATAATAATTAGTATAAGAATAATAATAATAATGTATAATGCATGTGTCTGCATGACAGTGACCAAAATTGTATGGCCAGTTAACTGTATTTACCTGTCAGTAATTACCTATCAGTATTTACCTGTCAGTATTCATTTGCCAGTATTTACCTATTAGTATTTACCTGCCAGTATTTACCTGTCAGTATATACCTGCCAGTATTTACCTGCCAGTTTTTACCTGACAGTATTTACCTGTCAGTATTTACCTGTCAATATTTACCTGTCAGTATTTACCTGTCATTATTTACCTGTCAGTATTCATTTGCCAGTATTTACCTGTCAGTATTTACCTGCCAGTATTTACCTGTCATTATTTACCTGCCAGTATTTACCTGTCAGTATTTACCTGCCAGTATTTACCTGTCAGTATTTACCTGTCATTATTTATCTGTCATTATTTACCTACCAGTATTTACCTGCCAGTATTTACCTGCCAGTATTTACCTGTCAGTATTTACCTGTCAGTATTTACCTGTCATTATTTATCTGTCAGTATTTACCTGTCAGTATTTATCTGCCAGTATTTACCTGCCAGTATTTACCTACCAGTATTTACCTGTCATTATTTACCTGCCAGTATTTACCTGTCAGTATTTACCTGCCAGTATTTACCTGCCAGTATTTACCTGCCAGTATTTACCTGTCAGTATTTACCTGTCAGTATTTACCTGTCATTATTTATCTGTCAGTATTTACCTGTCATTATTTACCTGTCAGTATTTACCTGCCAGTATTTACCTGCCAGTATTTACCTGTCAGTATTTATCTGTCAGTATTTTCCTGTCATTATTTACCTGTCAGTATTTACCTGCCAGTATTTACCTGCCAGTATTTACCTGTCATTATTTATCTGTCAGTATTTACCTGTCAGTATTTATCTGTCAGTATTTTCCTGTCATTATTTACCTGTCAGTATTTACCTGCCAGTATTTACCTGTCATTATTTAGCTGTCAGTATTTATCTGTCAGTATTTACCTGTCAGTATTTATCTGTCAGTATTTTCCTGTCAGTATTTATCTGTCAGTATTTACCTGTCAGTATTTATCTGTCAGTATTTTCCTGTCATTATTTAGCTGTCAGTATTTTCCTGTCATTATTTACCTGTCAGTATTTACCTGCCAGTATTTACCTGTCAGTATTTACCTGCCAGTATTTACCTGTCAGTATTTACCTGCCAGTATTTACCTGTCATTATTTAGCTGTCAGTATTTATCTGTCAGTATTTTCCTGCCAGTATTTACCTGTCATTATTTAGCTGTCAGTATTTTCCTGCCAGTATTTACCTGTCATTATTTAGCTGTCAGTATTTATCTGTCAGTATTTACCTGCCAGTATTTACCTGTCATTATTTATCTGTCAGTATTTACCTGCCAGTATTTACCTGTCATTATTTAGCTGTCAGTATTTTCCTGCCAGTATTTACCTGTCATTATTTATCTGTCAGTATTTACCTGCCAATTTTTTACTGTCACTATTTACCTACCAGTATTTACCTGTCAGTGTTTACCTGCCAGTATTTACCTGTCATTATTTACCTGCCAGTATTTACCTGTCATTATTTACCTGCCAGTATTTACCTGTGCTTCTTGTCCACAGTTGGAGTTGTTTTGTTCGGTCAATCTCCTACAGTTCATATTTATCGCTCTGCGTCTCGACAAATACATCAGATGGCACTGGGAGGTGAGTTGTGGCACTGGGAGGTGAGTTGTGGCACTGTGAGGTGAGTTGTGGCACTGTGAGGTGAGTTGTGGGACTGTGAGGTGAGTTGTGGCACTGGGAGGTGAGTTGTGGCACTGGGAGGTGAGTTGTGGCACTGTGAGGTGAGTTGTGGCACTGTGAGGTGAGTTGTGGCACTGGGAGGTGAGTTGTGGCACTGGGAGGTGAGTTGTGGCACTGGGAGGTGAGTTGTGGCACTGTGAGGTGAGTTGTGGCACTGTGAGGTGAGTTGTGGCACTGTGAGGTGAGTTGTGGTACTGTGAGGTGAGTTGTGGTACTGTGAAGTGAGTTGTGGTATTGTGAGGGGAGTTTGTGGGTACGTGAGTGAGATTTTGTTGTGGCACTGTGAAGTGAGTTGTGTACTGTGGGGGTGAGTTGTGGCACTGTGAAGTGAGTTGTGGTACTGTGAAGTGAGTTATGGTACTGTGAAGTGAGTTGTGGCACTGTGAAGTGAGTTGTGGTACTGTGAAGTGAGTTGTGGTACTGTGAAGTGAGTTGTGGTACTGTGAAGTGAGTTGTGGCACTGTGAAGTGAGTTGGTACTGAGAAGTGAGTTTTGGTAAATGGAAAGTGAGTTTGTGGTAACTGTGAAGGTGAGTTGTGATGGAAGTGAGTTGTGAAATCAGTTGTGTGTACTGTGAGGTGAGTTTGGTACTGTGAGGTGAGTTGTGGCACTGTGAGGTGAGTTTTGGCACTGTGAAGTGAGTTGTGGTACTGTGAGGTTTAGTTGTGGTACTGTGAAAGGGGAGTTGTGGCACTGTGAAGGGGAGTTGTGGTACTGTGAGTGAGTTGTGGGACTGGTGGAAAGTGAGTTTATGGACTGTGAGAGTGAGTTTGGGACTGTGAGGTGAGTTGTGGGACTGTGAGGTGAGTTGTGGTACTGTGAGGTGAGTTTGTGGTACTGTGAGGTGAGTTGTGGACTGTGAGGTGAGTTTGGGGACTGTGAGGTGAGTTGTGGTACTCGAAAGGTGGAGTTTGTGGGACGGTGAGGTGAGGTGGGACTGTGAGGTGAGTTGTGGTACTGTGAGGAGTTGTGGGACTGTGAGGTGAGTTGTGGTACTGTGAGGAGAGTTGTGGTACTGGTGAGGTCGTGAGTTGTGGTACTGTGAGGTGAGTTGTGGTACTTTTGAGTGAGTTTGTGGTACTGTGAGGGGGTTGTGGTACTGTGAGGTGAGTGTGGACTGTGAGGTGAGTTGTGGTACTGTGGGAGTTTTTGGGACTGTGAAGTGAGTTGTGGTACTGTGAGGAGAGTTTGTGGTATTGTGAGTGAGTTGTACTGGAGGTGAGTTGTGGTACTGTGAGGGTGAGGTTGTGGGTATTGTGACGTGAAGTGAGTTGTGGTATGTGAGGTTGTGATGTTGTGTGTACTGTGAGGTGAGTTGTACTGAGGGAGTTGTGGTACTGTGAGGTGAGTTTTTGGTACTGTGAGGTGAGTTGTGGTACTGTGGGGATGAGTTGTGGTACTGTGAGGTGAGTTGTGGTAAATGGAGGTGAGTTGTGGTACTGTGAGTGAGTTGTGGTACTGTGAGGTGAGTTGTGGTACTGTGAAGTGAGTTGTGGTACTGTGAGGTTGTGGTACTGTGAGGTGAGGTGTGGTACTGTGAGGTGAGTTGTACTGAGAGGAGTTGTGGGACTGTGAGGTGAGTTGTGGTACTGTGAGGTGAGTTGTGGTACTGTGAGGTGAGTTGTGGTACTGTGAGGTGAGTTGTGGTACTGTGAGGTGAGTTGTGGTACTGTGAGGTGAGTTGTGGTACTGTGAAGTGAGTTGTGGTACTGTGAGGTGAGTTGTGGTACTGTGAGGTGAGTTGTGGTACTGTGAGGTGAGTTGTGGTACTGTGAGGTGAGTTGTGGTATTGTGAGGTGAGTTGTGGTACTGTGAGTCCTATGACCAACAAAGGTCCTTGTGTATGTGTAAAGAGCAGACAACTTGTGTAAAGTAGAGACAAACTGTGTAACTGCGAAACTAGTTGTGGAAACTAGTGAACTAGTCAGGACAAACTAGTGTTGTACTGCAGACGATATAGTGGGAAGTAGCAGACAATCTAGTGTAACTGTGAGGACAAACGAGTTGTAACTAGCAGACAAACTAGTGTAACTACAGACAAACTGTTGTACTAGCAGACAAATAGTGTAACTAGCGAACAAACTAGTGACTAGCAGACAAACTAGTGTAACTAGCAGACAAACTAGTGTAACTAGCAGACAAACTAGTGTAACTAGCAGACAAACTAGTGTAACTAGCAGACAAACTAGTGTGACTAGCAGACAAACTAGTGTAACTAAACAGACAAACTAGTGTACAGCAGACAAACTAGTGTAACAGCAGACAAACTAGTGTAACTAGCAGACAAACTAGTGTGACTAGCAGACAAACTAGTGTAACTAGCAGACAACTAGTGTAACTAGCAGACAAACTAGTGTAACTAGCAGACAAACTAGTGTAACTAGCAGACAAACTAGTGTAACAGCAGACAAACTAGTGTAACTAGCAGACAAACTAGTGTAACTAGCAGACAAACTAGTGTAACTAGCAGACAAACTAGTGTAACTAGCAGACAAACTAGTGTAACTAGCAGACAAACTAGTGTAACCAGCAGACAAACTAAGTGAACTAGCAGACAAACTAGTGTGACTAGCAGACAAACTAGTGTAACTAGCAGACAAACTAGTGTACTAGCAACAAACTAGTGTAACTAGCAGACAAACTAGTGTAACTAGCAGACAAACTAGTGTAACTAGCAGACAAACTAGTGTAACTAGCCAGACAAACTAGTGTAACTAGCAAACTAGTGTAACTACAGACAAAGTGTAACTAGCAGACAAACTAGTGTAACTAGCAGACAAACTAGTGTAACTAGCAGACAAACTAGTGTAACTAGCAGACAAACTAGTGCAACTAGCAGACAAATTAGTGTAACTAGCAGACAAACTAGTGTAACTATGCAGACAAACTAGTGTCAACTAGCAGACAAACTTTGTGTAACTAGCAAAAACAAGTGTAACTAAACATGACAAACTATGTGACTAGCAGACAAACTAGTGTAACTAGCAGACAAACTAGTGTAACTAGCAGACAAACTAGTGTAACTACAGACAAACTAGTGTAACTAGCAGACAAATTAGTGTGACTAGCAGACAAACTAGTGTAACTAGCAGACAAACTAGTGTAACTAGCAGACAAACTAGTGTAACTAGCAGACAAACTAGTGCAACTAGCAGACAAATTAGTGTAACTAGCAGACAAACTAGTGTAACTAGCAGACAAACTAGTGTAACTAGCAGACAAACTAGTGTAACTAGCAGAGAAACTAAATGTAACTAGCAGAAACTAGTGTAACACAGACAAACTATGTGACTAGCAGACAAACTAGTGTAACTAGCAGACAAACTAGTGTAACTAGCAGACAAACTAGTGTAACTAGCAGACAAACTAGTGTGACTAGCAGACAAACTAGTGTGACTAGCAGACAAACTAGTGTAACTAGCAGACCAAACTACAGTTGTAACTAGCAGACAAACTAGTGTACTAGACAACTAGTGCTAAGCGACAAACTAGTGTGACTAGCAGACAAACTAGTGTAACTAGCAGACAAACTAGTGTAACTAGCAGACAAACTAGTGCAACTAGCAGACAAACTAGTGTAACTAGCAGACAAACTAGTGTAACCAACAAACTAGTGTACAGCAACAAACTAGTGTAACTAGCAACAAACTAGTGTAACTAGCAGACAATGTAGTGTAACTAGCAGACAAACTAGTGTAACTAGCAGATAAACTAGTGTAACTAGCAGACAAACTAGTGTAACTAGAACAAACTAGTGTAACCAGCAGACAAACTAGTGTAACTAGCAGACAAACTAGTGTAACTAGCAGACAAACTAGTGTAACTAGCAGACAAACTAGTGTAACTAGCAGACAAACTAGTGTGACTAACAAACTAGTGTAACTAGCAGACAAACTAGTGTGACTAGCAGACAAACTAGTGCAACTAGCAGACAAACTAGTGTAACTAGCAGACAAACTAGTGTAACTAGCAGACAAACTAGTGTAACTAGCAGACAAACTAGTGCGCAAATAACTAGATAAACTAGTGTAACTAGCAGACAAACTAGTGTAACTAAGCAACAAACTAGTGTACTAAGCAGACAAACTAGTGTAACTAGCAGACAAACTAGTGTAAAACTAGCAGACAAACTAGTGTAACTAGCAAATAAACTAGTGTAACTAGCAGACAAACTAGTGTAACTAGCAGACAAACTAGTGTAACTAGCAGACAAACTAGTGTAACTAGCAGACAAACTAGTGTGACTAGCAGACAAACTAGTGTAACTAGCAGACAAACTAGTGTAGCAGACAAACTAGTGTAACTAGCAGACAAACTAGTGTGACTAGCAGACAAACTAGTGTAACTAGCAGACAAACTAGTGTGACTAGCAGACAAACTAGTGTAACTAGCAGACAAACTAGTGTAACTAGCAGACAAAACAAGTGTAATAGCAGACAAACTAGTGTAACTAGCAGACAAACTAGTGTAACTAGCAACAAACTAGTGTGAACTAGCAGACAAACTAGTGTAACTAGCAGACAAACTAGTGTTGCAACTAGGCAGACAAACTAGTGTGAAATAGCAGACAAAACTAGTGTGACTAGCAAACTAGGTAACAGACAAACTAGTGTAACTAGCAGACAAACTAGTGGGAACTAGCAGACAAACTAGTGTAACTAGCCAGGAACAAAAACTAGTGTAACTAGCAGACAAACTAGTGTAACTAAACAGACAAACTAGTGTAACAGCAGACAAACTAGTGTAACTAGCAGAAAACTAGTGTAACTAGCAGACAAACTAGTGTAACTAGCAGACAAACTAGTGTAACTAGCAGACAAACTAGTGTAACTAGCAGACAAACTAGTGTAACTAGCAGACAAACTAGTGCAAGTAGCAGATAAACTAGTGTAACTAGCAGA